GAGAGGGACGAGGTGTGGAACATGCTTTCAGAAGTTTTAAAAGAGCAACATTCCGATGTGGAAACTACAGAACCCGAACCAACCAAAAAAAAAAATCAACCTTCTGCTGGGGCATCTGCCTCAGATGATGACCCTGAACATGCGTTGCGCCGCACGGCTTTGGCGCGTTATGGAGCAGAGCCCAGCATTGCTATGGAAGCACGACCCGGGCGTGGGGCGGAGCGAACTGACGGGCCCAGAGAGCCTCGGCCGCGCAAAGCTACGGGGAACGGGGACACTAAGCGCAGACAGGCCTCGGGCTCTATGGTGACGCCGTTGAACGGGCCGCTCATGCCGACCCTCGCCGCTCTCTATGGTACCTGGGAGGAGCGGAGGGGGTGGCGCCCGGTTGCCGGCTGGGGTCCCACAATCTCGCCAGTTTAAACTGCGGACACGATGGCGCCTCCGAAAGGTGAGAGACTCGGAACGGGGGAGGAGGATGGGACAGCCCCCTTCCCCGCGCGAGACAGATCCGGGGCCGCCCCCCAGGAGTGGGAGCTGCCCGTCCCGGAGGGGCTGCCGCGGGCGCGACTAATTATTGGGGCGGGGGGGGGTCGCGACTGGGCACCCCTCCCCCCCCCGACTCGGTGCAGGCGCATGAAGGGCCTGGCTGCGGGGGGCAGGGGGATTAATGGCGGGGGGCCGGCACTGTGTGTGGGGGGGTGTGTGTGGGCGGGCTGGATTGGGTCAGGTTATGGGGGGCAGGGGAAGGCGAAGGGGTTAATGGGCTGGTTCGGGCTGTGGGGGCGCCAGGGAGACAAGTTAATGAGGGATGGGGCGGGCAGGGGAGGTTATGGGGGACAAAGGGGTGGAGGCCTGGGCGTTATGGGGGGAAGGAGAAAGCTATGGGTGTCGGATGAGGGTTAATGCGGGGACACAGATATAAAGGGCCGTTATTGACTTAAAACTAACACTTTATTTTATTTACTGACAGCCTTCGAATAGTAAACATTTTCAAATGTACTTTTCATACTTGGGTTGTTATAGCTGTTTGGCGTTTTTTAATGTAGACAATGAAACTAAACTGGTTGATTTCTCATTTTGGTCCTGGGCACTTGCATGTTTTCAATAAAACTCTAATATTGTCATGGAAACTTTCTGTTTGTACCTTGTAAATCAGATGGTTGTTGCAAAATCTAAATGTTGGTCCTAAAGCCAGTTGATAGTGCTCTTTGAAGTTGCATAGGGAAGCATATGAGTTTTTATCTCTCCAAGGATATAGTTAATTTACATGATTGCAGCAGCGGGATGTGTGAGTTTACCTTGTAGAAATATGTTATACAATAAAAGGCATCACTCCCTTAAAACAAACAAACTGAGATACAGGATTAATCAGATCATTATTATGATCAGTTCACTTGCAGTGAACATAGAACACTCATTCAGTAATTAACAGAGAACAATAAATTTGTATAGATCAAACTACATTTTTTCAAAATAATGGAAGCAAATTAAAATCTAGAAGCTGTAGAGTGCACAATGCAATTTTACTAAAGTTTGTCAGCCAGGATACCTACATATATGCACCGTGTCCTCCATTACAACATATCACGTTTCAGAAACCTGCAGAGAGGTATTACAGAATGTTTTATTTATTAGTAATAATATGTAACTCTTTTATAGTGTATTTCATCAGTAGATCTCAAAGCACTTTACAGAGGAGGTCAGTATCATTATGTTATGGGCCAGATTCTGCCATGCTTGTGTTGAACAGTATCTTAATGCAATGAGCAGGACTATTTGTGTAACTCTGACAGACTGGGGTCTGTTGGTGTTACAAGTTGGGGCTCCTTCGGGATTTCAACTGGGAAGACTCTGAAGCTCGGGATGCGCTTCCTCAGCTTGGGGAAGTATGTAACCCACACACCTTCTGGGTGTGGTGTTCTGTCCCATCTAGTGGCACTGAGACCACTTAAAGAGAGTGATTAAATAAGTCTGCTCGCCTCTACAGCCTCGGCTAACAGCCAGTTGGTCTTTAGCTCTAGAGGTCCCTGGTTTGGTTCTGCCCGACGACGACTGGGGTCTGTTGGCATTACACTTGCAGAATAAGATACCACTCAACCTGAGAAAATATGGCAAATCTAGTTGTAAAACATTACTAGATGATGTGTTAATGCAATGGCTAAGAGTGCTAGAGCCATTTCTGAACCACTGGACAGTTTTAGATTCTGGACTTTTCAAAGGTGCCATGCAAAATATGGCATTAAAATACTACTTGAGAAATTCTTTTAACTAAACATAGATTTGAATCAAATCAAACCAAAATGGCAGAAAGGGGAAATAATGCTGCCACAGAAATTGTAAAAATGATTAGAAAGAGAGTACAGGAGGAAATTTTCTCTTAAACCTTCAGTATTGACATACTGTGTTGGAAAACCAAAACCATTTGTTTTTATATGATTCAAAACCTTACTCTTCCTAATTTTTATGTTTTAATGTTGTCAGTTATAATTCACATATACAGTTAAAAAGTCTTTCCAACACTACTTTGGTTGCAGTGAGCTATTACTGTTAGTACATTCTAACAGGAAATTCCAGGATCATGGAAAGGTCATCTTCTCCTCCGCCCCTTCTCTCAAAAAGCTTTCTTGGTCTACCATAGAGAGACTGGAAGAGTACTGCAAACAATAATGCTGTGTCTGCATAAGGAAATGTGAGGAGCATAAAACACAAAAAAACCCTCTTTTTCGACTGGAGAGACTGAGCCTGGGTCAAATTCATCCCTGCTGTTACTCCATGAGGGCAGTGAAATCAATCTGTCAGTTTCATGGAGTTGAAACTTCTTCAGAATTAGTAGTAGGACCTGATCCTCTTCACTGCCAGAATTGAACTGCATGTGTAACATCACTTTTTACAACTAACAAAGTGCTGTCTCACATCTTTATAATAACCATTAGAAAAGAATTAGTATTGGCTTGTTTGATCAGACAGCTTTAGAAATTATATTTTTAGAGTTGTGTGCTGCATTATTACGATGTAGTATAAACACAGGACTTTGCATGTACTTCATATGTAAGGGATACAATTAGGTGTTTAGATCCAAAATTTGACATATTTTAAAACTGTTTTAATCTGGTAAGGCATATCCTTTGGATTTAAAATTTTAAAACTCTCTCTCCATGCTGTCGCCAAATAATGTTTAAAATAGAAAAGCCATTCTGTGTGTAGCTCAGGAACCTGTTTGACCAGCCTGCATGGGAGTTAATTTACAAATCCCTCTTGCAGAGGTGTTATGATTCTAGTTTAGGGATGCTATTCCACAAACAAGGAAATCACGTTCAGTGTCATTTCGACAGGTTTCAGAGTAGCAGCCATGTTAGTCTGTATCCGCAAAAAGAACAGGAGTACTTGTGGCACCTTGTGTCTTTCGTTATGAGAGCTATACTGCATTTTGGCCATGTTCCTGACCTCATCCTGCCACACTGGCAATTGGTCCTATAGTGTAGTTAGTGTCTACCAAGGAAAGCCTTCTATATTACTCTTGGCACCCACGCTGTGATGCATGTGGCAACCCCCACAGCAGAGCCTTGGCTGCTTCTGCCTGCCAATAAATACTTGCTTCTACTCATTTACCTAGCACCGTGGATACTATTTTCTGCAGAAGCTCAAGATTCTGATTTGGCTAGAACAAGGGACACGTTGGTAGTCAGACACAAAGCAAAAAGCATGTCTTCTAAACTCATTTATATTCTTGCCTACTCCAGTAATTTATTTCATATACTAGAAGGTCTGTACAGTCTCACAGGAGTAATTCGTAAAGTCAGGTGCATAGGAAAAAAAAAGTCAAAACTGGAGGCTTTTGTTTCTGTACACTGTGTTATAGTGTACTATGTTGCTGTTTGTACATGTTGCCCAGTTTGTGCACAGAGCTGCCCCCAAGTGAAGGCATGGACCACCTCTTTGTTACCCCACATAACCATTATTCCCACCTTCTCTGTTCAACTGTCACATTCTCGCCACCACAAAACCTTTGTACTACAGCATTGCATCTGGTTCTCACGAGGCCCACTGATGATTGAACCTGATGATATTTTGAACAAAAACAGCTCTAATTCATGCTTGTAGCTGTTTCAATGACTTCACACTTACTCTATGGATGTTCTAGGCTTTAGAGTGACACACGGACAGAGTGACAATCCTGGAATCTTAGTATATAGATGTACTATTTACTTCCTGTCCCATTACTATAGTGATGGAACCCCTCCTTTTGTACTATCACCAGAACAGTATATGAGAGGGTTGGGAAAGAAGCTTCCATTTATAACTGACTTTCCTGGATTGATCCTATTGTCTGTTATTTATTTTCTCTTCTCTTCTTTTCCGCTCCCATCTCAATTTTTAGTACATCTTAAACGTGCCATTTTTGCCACTTTGTGCAGAGCCTTTTGCTGTTGCTACTCTGAGAGTCTGGTCAACTTTCTCCTCAGTATGCAGAGAATTAGTTATAGCTCACAGCAAGTGGTCGTGCACAAGTTATAGAGACAAGAAGATAAAAGTGAAATATAGATTACTGCATAGGTAAATACCAGTGTATGATTATACTCTTTTTAGAACAGTGGCGTTCTTTGGTAAAGGAACCCCCTTGAAATCAAACATAGCTTGACATTCCTTTCTCAGACAGAATCTTTGAGGTTCCAATTTAGAATTCTTAGCTACTGCAATGGAATTGTAGTGGAACTACTGTGTGCTACTACAGTGCACTTGAGACTGCGCTACTGCTTTACAATGCTTGGTTGTGTTCTTAGTTTAGAATGAGGAACATACTGAGTTGCTGTAAGTATACTAGCATGTTGCTCTTTGTTTCATGTTCCTTACGGAGTTATATTTTTTCTTTCAGAGAATGTCAGTTTACTGTTTAAATTGTACTGCTTGACGGTGATGACCCTGGTGGCCGCAACGTACACTGTAGCTTTACGGTACACGAGAATAGCAGAAACAGAACTCTACTTTGCAACCACAGCTGTGTGCATCACAGAAGTTATCAAGTTATTCCTAAGTGTGGGTATTTTGGCCAAGTAAGTATGAGTGCTAACCACTACTGGAACTGCATTCTCACTCGTCTTCACACACACACATGCAGATATGTTTACACACACACGGACTTGAGAGTCTCAGCTAGTTCTCTTTTTATATGCCTTACTTGTGAAGCTGGGCAGGAGAGGCATTGTAAAATAATGCCGTGAAAGGATCAGTTTAAAACATGTCAGAGCTTGTGAACTTTTTTCTAAATCACTTCTGTAAACCTCACAATATGCAGGTGTGTCCATTTGCATTTTTTTAAATTTATGTGCTTTGGAGTAGGTTCAAAATGGATTAGATGCAAAATACTGAGTCATCAGAGTTCAGCATAGATGAGGGCGTGGCTTTTTCCAGAAGTGTGTATGTGTAAAAATCTAGTATTCCCACTAATAACATTCTTCAGAGTAATTCCACAAAAATCTTAATATTTCTACTAGGGGTGAAAGATGTAACGGTTAAATCCACACTGAAGGATTATGGGAATTTTAAGAGCCTCTGCAGTCTAACCTTCAGATCAGCGCCAGGTACAAAAAAGCTGAGTGTGTGGGGAAGGTGGTCGGTCATTGCAGTTTCTTCCCTTCTTCCTGTAACATCTAGGTTCCAAGCTCAAAAGAGACCCTGATGTTCATCTAATTTGACCTCCCGCATAACACAGGCCACAGAACTTTCCGAAAATAATTCCTAGAGCATAGCTTTTACAAAAATATTTAATCTTGATTTAAAAATCATGAGTGATGGAGAATCCACCATTACCCTGGGGAATTTGTTCCAGTGGTTAATTACTTTCACTGTTAAAAATTTACACCTTATTTCCATTATAAATTTGTCTAGCGTCAACTTCTACCCAGTGGGTTGTGTTATATTTTTCTCTGCTAGATTGAAGAGTCCCATTATTAAATATTTATTCCCCATGTAGATTGTAATCAAGTCACCCCTTAACATTCTCTTTGTTAAATTAAATAGATTGAGCTTCTTGAGTCTATGACTATAAGGCATGTTTTCTAATCCTTTAATCATTCTTGTGGCTCTTCTCTGAACCTTCTCCAATTTATCAACATTGTTCTTGATTTGTGGGCACCAGAACCAGGTACAGTATTCAAGCAGCAGTCGCACCAGTGCCAAATACAGAGATAAAATAACCCCTCTACTCCTTGAGATTCCTGTTAATGCATCCCAGGATCGCATTAGCTCTTTTCGCCACAGTGTCACATTAGGGGTTCATGTTCAGCTGATTACCACCAAAGCCCCCAAATCTTTGCAACCTCTTTAGTGTGCAAAAGAAATGCAGTTGGTATATAAACTCAGTGTTATCTCAAGATAACTGAGATTTGCTTACATTTCAGTTTCTGTTAATTTAAAAGATCCAGCAAAAGTTTTTTTTTTTAATAAACGTGTGTAGTATCTGCAGTAATACTAGCTTGAATTAAAATTTATAATGTTTATTAATGCTGATGCTTCAGTGTATAACCTGATCACCCAATGGATTCAGAAAGCAATCTGCTGCCTTGGTGCAAGGTGTGCATTTTGTGCCTTTGTCTGAAGCAGCCAGTGCTGATCACAGTTAAAGTACAGGACACCAAATAAGATAAACCAGGGTTCTGTTCCAAAATCGAATTTATGTAATTAAGTACACTTGCTGTAGTTCCCTGCTGTTTACATTTTCGGCATTGTATGTTCAAGTATCAAATGTTATTTTAAGCTTTGAATAAATGACTGCCTTTTGAAATGGAGACTACTTGTAGTTTAAGCTGTGTAATTATTTACTTTGCCTATAATTATGGGAATAAAATGAACCTGGCGTACTCCTGGCCACTAAATTCTGAATTAGTAATTTGTTCAGATTCCCACATGGCTTATAGCTTCTTAGAGTGGGGACTCAAAAAGCCAAACTGACTTGCATTCTAGTTTTATTTGGGATTACATATTTTGAACAAGTAAATACATACATATTGCAAGCTTGATTATCATTTATATCTCTCACATATCCAGTCCCATGAAAAACACAGAATAAGTTTCCAAGTTAAATATTAAGCATCAAGGATGTTGAATTAGAGTTAAAGCACTTTATTTACTTACTGCAAAACCAAGGCACATATGAGAATGTGTGATTAAGATCTGTTGTGAGATCTTTGTACTCCTTGTGCCAGTATTGTGAGTGAAGGATGAAGTTTCTTTATTAACCTTTAATTTTTACACTTTTTGTGGGTTTAAATCTATCTAGGTGTGCCCGCATTGTCTAATTTAACTTTAAATTACAACGTCTACTTCAGAATATTTTTGTTTTTTATTTTCTCCTGCCCAACTCAAATAAGAAGTCTCACAGAAGGGCTGCATATCTGAGACCGTAATATTCAAATATAATCAAATATTGATTGTGAATAATCAAAACAATTGCTCCTGTTCTCCAAAACGAGAGTAGGAGTGGTGTTTAAAGGGGCATCATTTATTTTTCATTACTGAAATTCCATGCCAAATGTCAGAAGTACACAAAAACTCTGTTGTTTAACCACCAGGCTCCTGCTGCCATACTCCCCCATCACGAAAAATTTCTCAGGCACCTCACAGTAAGATTAAGAGAAATTCCTACTCTTTAATACAATCTGGATGGAACAGATGGAGGAAAGGGGAAACGTAATAAGCAAAATGACAGTTTGGCATGTGTCTTGTTAAATTGTTAATTACGTTTCAGTAGTCTGTCCATTACACTTACCCAGTATTTCAGTTCAGTTTATTTTTTCTGTGTATAAATAGTAACTATTTCAGCTTCTGGCTGCATGTATATAAACTAGAAAACACCTATTCAATGAAACAGAACTAAATGGAGTCAGCTAAAGAAAACTGAACTGTCTTCTAACTATGAAAGAAAGTATGGTCAGCTATAATGTATGTTGTGCTCCCTTCCTCTTAACACAAAATCCTGGCATGTGAGGTCATTTGGGGGGAGGGAGGGGTAAGATTTCTCCTAAATTATAAAGCAAACTGCAATTTTTTTTTCCTGTAGTGAAGTGGTTGGTACTCACAAGAGATCCTGCCTTTAAGTGGGATGATTTGTTTAATCATTTACATCAGTAACTTTGCTGAAATACAACCACTGTCTAATTTTGGTTCATCATATTACTGCTATAATTTAACTTTGAGTGACCAGCCAAGCAATATACTATCCTTTGGACCTGATCATTCATGCTTAAGTACATTATTTTGTAATAGTACAGTACTGTATTAGAATTGAACAAAGGTAGGTGCAGTTCTATCCATTTTTTTTTTTACTTATTTAACAGCCTGCCTTTAACAAACAAAATGTGTGATATATTGCGGGATACCATCGTATTAAAGGTCAGGCTTTTGTGGTATTTTTCCACATTTATTGTAACAGTTAAACTTTACTATAAACAGAGTATAGTTAACGTAGATAATTCTTTTGAAACAGAAATCTTCTTCCTGGTCTGGATCATACAGTGCCAGGCAATGTGCTGTGCTGTTTGAGGAATAATACCAAGAAACCTCCTATTACATTAGATGCTCGTGTAATGTTTTGTGCCACAGTATAAACTTGCTGCGTGGTGCTGAGCTGCCGCATCCATTTCTGTGCCTTTGGCACCACAGCTCTGCCTAGAACACTGCTTGCCCATAGTAGTATTTGGAGAGGCAGAGTACAGGTACAGGAGGGAAGAGGTGCTCTCCAGGTCTGATTAAGGGCTTGTCTAGGAAGGTTAATCTGAATTAATTTAAATGTAAATTTAAAGCAGATTAATTAAACAGCACTAAACCCCGTGTGGACACTTTTATTCAGAATTAAAGTGGCCTTAATTTGGTTTATCTTAATTCACTTTGTAAGTTACACCAGAAGTGGGACAACTCAGAATCAGAAGAGTGCAAGGGTAGGTTAAAGCCACAGTAGCCCCTCCTTCCCCTGGGCTGAGAGTTCTGTGCTGAACCTCTTAAAGGCACAACCCAGAATCTCACCCAGAAGCTGCAGGGGATTTGGAAAATCACAAAAGAAATTGGAGATGAGTCCAATATTAGTAGCAAGAAAGAGTAACTTTTTGTCTTTCTGTGTGAATACTTCGCATTCTAAACAATGGGTTGAGCAACTAATGTTATTGAAACTCTGTAGGGCCAACCTGTTGCTGAGAATTCATGTGTTAATGCGTCTGACCTTTATCATTCGAAAATCTGCTCCTGGCCCTTAATGGTTTGTACTTGCAGGGAACCAAATTGATTTTCAGTGTAATTTTTTTAATTAATCGAAGATCCCAACTGTTTATTAAAAGCATGTTTTTAAAGACGTTTCAAAGAACTCTGTTCAGGCATCTCACTGTAAATGAGTCATCAAATATCATTGTGCCAAAACCTTTTATTTTGCAGAGAAACTGGAAGCCTGGGTAGGTTGATGACATCTTTAAGAGAAAATGTATTAGGCAGCCCTAAGGAATTGCTAAAATTAAGTGTTCCATCTGTGGTGTATGCGGTCCAAAACAACATGGCTTTCTTGGCTCTTAGCAATTTGGATGCAGCAGTCTACCAGGTAACTGGCATTATTATGGTTAGGAACCAAAACACAGAATCCCTATTTTTACTCAGTTTTAGGTTGTAGTTTTGTCTGCTTTAATGCCTTGTAACACCTTAGAATTTTTTAATTATTATTATTTAAGCACTGAAAAGTGCTCATTAAAAGATGCACAACAGGACAGACATCGAAAGACAAAATGCACTGGGAGGCCCAGAGGCAGGAGATGCTGTATTTATCTTTCACCAGGAAATCTATTTTTTTTCTTATGATTGAGTGTCTTGAAGAAAAGACAAGTTTTTAGGAGGTATTTAAATAAGAGGATGGGGGCCTGGTATGTGATGTAAGAAAATGCAATGACAGGAATCTTTGTAGGTTTACTGAACAGAGATTTACACATTTGTGTGAAAATTGGTGGTTGCATTAGTAATTGGGGGGGGAGGGGAAATCCCATCTCTTGTAAACAGTGATTTATTATTGGCATCATGTGGCATTGTGTGTAGCCACACTTTAAAAAGCTGATTACCACACACTTGCTAAATGCACATAAGAAGTGAAATCTGGAGCTCATCACATCAAGTAATACAATCTGTAATTCACAGTGCATATGAATAAGGCATGAATTTTGGTAAGTCCCTAAAACAGTCTTGCCATCTTCTATGTTTTTGTGTTCAGTTAGAACCAAGTTTTGTTCCGTGCTATGTCACTTAGCACATTGGTGGAAGGTGCTTAAATACTGGGATGATGAGGGTGTTATAAGAACCTTTATAGAAGGGAATAATTCATGTGTAGTTTAGGTTGAAAAGTATAACCCTAATTATGTTTGTTACTATTAAACTTTGAAACCATGTATTTAGATTTAATAGTGGAGGGAATGAGATTAAACCTTTGTTGTAAGTGAATTCCCCTCACAAACCTATCTTATTGTTAAAATAACTCCATTTATTAATATAACTCTTATGCAAATTACATAAGAACAGAAATAACCCCCCATCCAAAAACTTAAAATATTTTGAAATAACTCGTATAAAATATTCTACTATCCTTACCATGTGTTAATCACATTTGTTAATCACAATATTGATATGTAAAAATTCACCATATGAACTTCATAATCAACCATAGCTCTGACCCATAAGACAAATATGCACATCACTAATATTCGATATGAAAATACAGTAAGAAAATTCAAAGGTTGCAAAGTAAAGTCCTTGAAAGTCAGGAAATACCAATTTTAAGCTTATCTCTTTGTGCATATGTTAATATACTTTAATTACACAAAAACATACTGTTGTTTCTACAGGATCCTAGCCTCTTTCGGTGCCTAAATTGGATGATGTGAAGTGAATGAAGAAGGGGCGCAGTATTTATGTTTAAATAACTTATTAAAACAGAGGTGAAGAGGGAGGTAGCACACAGTACAATTGCAAGCTGTTAACCCACATTTCAAAAAAATCACTGTAGTAAATAACTAAATTGAGATATCCTATCTCCTAGAACTGGAAGGGACCTTGAAAGGTCATTGAGTCCAGCCCCCTGCCTTCACTAGCAGGACCAAGTACTGATTTTGCCCCAGATCCCTAAGAGACCCCCTCAAGGATTGAACTCACAACCCTGGGTTTAGCAGACCAATGCTCAAACCATTGAGCTATCCCTCCCCTCTATAAAAGTCAAATTCTTTGACTTTTTTTTCTCACTATTGCATGAATGCACCTCTGCCTCACTCATGGTACACTATCCAGCCTGAGCACTAAAAGCCAAGTTATGCTGTTACACCAGTGTAAATAAAAAGTAAACCCATTAACTGCCATGGAGTCATTCCAGATGCACATGGTTGTAATTGCAAATGAAATTTAGCCCAGAATGAGGCAGGGAATTAATATCTCTGAGTATGAAATACTATATGCTGATGTCAGTTTATAGTGGAGTTCAGTATTCTATCGGTTGTGGTTTTGATGGCGTTCATGTAACCATATGCTATTTGCCGTTTTCCCTTTTTTAGGTGACATATCAGTTGAAGATCCCATGCACAGCCTTATGTACGGTCTTAATGTTAAACCGTTCCCTCAGTAAATTGCAGTGGTTCTCAGTCTTTATGTTGTGTGGTGGAGTCACACTTGTTCAGTGGAAACCTGCTCAGGTTACAAAAGTACAGGTAAGCCTTATCACTTGGATACCTTCTCTGGACACTTTAGCAGAAACAGCAGGCTGCCTAGAGCTTCTCCACCTACCTATTTCACTCGCTGTATGGTGACTGTGGAATATTTGTAATAATTTCCCAATGTAAAATGTTAGTTTGATTGTCTAGTTCAAATTCAGTGGTCCCCAAACTATGGAGTGCGCCCTCGTAGGGGGGTGCGGAAGAATGTTTGGGGGAGGGGCGTGGTGGCCACCCAGCCCTGTTCTGCCCCCAGCTCTGCTCCGTCCCTGGCTCCCAACTGTGGCTCCACACCCAGCTCCTGGCTGCAGCTATGCACCCAGCCCCGCCCCTGACTACAGCCGTCGCCCTGCCCCCAACTGCGGCCCCAGCGTTGGCCCTAGCTTCTGGCTGGCTGTGGCCCCAGAACCACTCCTATCCCAGCCTCGGCCCCTGGCCCTGACCGTGGCCCTGTTCCCAGCCCTGGCTCCCAACCGTGGCCTGCGGGTGGATTGGGGGATGAACAAGGGCAAGGGAGAGCACAAGAGAGAGAAATTTTGGGGACCACTGCTTTCTTCTTCGAGAGATGTCCTTGTGGATGCTCCACTCCAGCTGATGGTGCATCCCTGCGCCTTTGTTCTGAGAGTTTTGCAGCAGTGTCCGCATGGGTCACACACATGCGATGCCTGGCTTGTGTGATGTTGGTGCTTCAGCTAGCCCACGCGCGACCTGGACTCCTCAGTCCTTCTCAACTGTCCCCGGCCTGTGATGGAGCAATCCCATTGAAAATCTTCGTTTCAAATAGATAAGTTTAGATAAATTAGTGAGTTAGGATAGTTTAGACAAGTTAAGTTTCAGTTATTAGTTACGTCTCCTATTTAAAAAAAAAGTTTTATTTTTCCATCCTTTAGTACAGTTACTATTAGGTTAGGAAGATGCATGGTTCACCAGGATTTAAAGGATGCACGACATGCAGAGAGGAGATGCCTGTGTCAGATGGACATACTCAATGCGTCCGTTGACTGGGGGAAACTCACATTCCTCAGAAATGTGCCCACTGTAACAAACTGAAGGTTAGGGCATGAAGAGTTAGAGACCTGAGACTTAAACTCATCTTGATGGAGAAGTCCTTAAGACCAGCCTCCGACACGGGGCAGGAACTGTCTTCCTATCATAAGTCACCGGTCTCCTCACCACCAAGGTCCCCGAAGGCCAAAAAACCTGCAAAAAAAACCCTCCGGTCATCCTCTTCACCTGATAGAGAGCAGATGAACGCAAAACAGTCGCCAACCAAATCGCTCTCATTGGTGCCGGCTGCACCGCCGGGCATACTCCAGGCACCTCCAGTACCGTCTGCATGGTGGCCACCGGCGGAACCCAGCGCACTGGTGCCAAGCTAACGGCTCTAAGCTGCCTGCCTCCACCAAGGCACCGTCGGCAGCTCCAAAGGAGACAGCACCGGCAACCACTCCTATCATCATGCCACAGCCCAATGCTGCTAGCGCAATGGTGCCCAAACAAACTGCATCGGCTCAGCACACCGTACCCCCGATGCAATCGGCTCCTGGCCCTCTGGCACCGAGGCTCTTGGCACCACAAGAATTTGTTGGTCTCCTGGACTCCGGAGTCCCCTCTCCTAGGCACTGATGTCTCACCGGGGCCATCGGTACCACGCCAACATTTATCTTTGATAGCGTCACAGTTCTTGAGCGATGAAGATGAGGAGGTTGAAGGGGTATTCTCCCCTCACCATTCCTCCCCAATCAGGACACCTGTGGCTACTGGACCCTGTGACCATGACCCTCATATGCTCACAACATGCCACCGTGGTATGGCCACCCATGGATGGCACCACCCATGCCCTATCCTGGTCATTGGCCATATTGGAATCCCTGGGGGTCTTACAAATGATACTACAGCAGGCGCCACAGCCCATGTAGGGAAGATGCCAGATCCCCACCTCCACCTTCAGAGACTGTAGTGACCAAGACAGGGGATGAACCCATGGCAAAGTAGGAAGAGGACACTGCTCCCGACACCTCGCCAGCAAGAACAATTCATCCTCCTCACCGGATGAGGCTATTATGACTTTACCCATATCCAAGACTTACTCAAAAGAGTGGCCAATGAGCTCAAAATTGCTCTGGAGGAAGTGTCGGAAACTCAACATGAGCTAACAGATATTTTACGGACATCTTCCTTCTCCAAGATAGCATTGCCAATCAGTGGGGCTATCATGGAACCCGCCAATACTGTGTGGCAAACTCCAGCCACCATACTTCCTACCTGCAAAAGGTTGGACTGAAAATATTATGTTCCCTCGAAGGGATTGGAATTTCTATTCATACACCCAGCACCCAACTCGCTGGTAGTGGAAGTGGCCAACCAAAGGCAAACAGCACTTTCGATCCACCCCCTTCAATAACGAGAATAAGAGGTTGGACCTATTCGGCCGCAAAGTATATTCTTCATCCACGCTTCTCTTCAGAGTGGCAAATTACACGGCACTGCTTGCCAAATACAACCACAGGAACTATGGCAAATTTATGGACTTTATTAAGATCCCAGAGGAAAAGAGGCAACAACTTAAATCTCTGGTCTCTGAAGAACAGATGATTGCACGCACGGCTCTACAGGCCTCACTAGATGCTGCTGACATGGCCGTCAGGTCCGTCGCTACAGCTGTGGTCATGCAACGAGCCTGGTGGTTTAACTCCTCAGCATTACCACGGGAGATACAAAATACAGTCGAAGATCTCCCCTTCAACGGAGAAAAATTGTTTGCAGCCAAAATCACTGAGGTACTGCACACTATGAAGGACTCGCGGGCCATTCTCCGGACCCTTGGCATTCATACACATGCTACAAGAAGGAGACAATATAGGTATCAACCATATCAGAGGAATAGATACCCAACATACACACAGAAACACCAGAGGCCTTACAAACACCAACACCACCAACAACGACAGACAGAGATCACAATGACGACTCCCTCCACCACTAACGGCATCTCAACCTACTGCCTCTAATAAACAAATCTGAAGGCTCGGTTGAGGGTCTGGATGACCTCTCCCACATTCCAGCACTTACACCATCCATCCATATATTTGGAGACAGTTTGCTCTCATTCTACCTGAAATGGGCTGCCATCACCATGGACAAATGGGCCTTAGAAATCATCCAAATGGGCTTATACCATTCCTTTCCTATGTATACTCTCACACCCACCTCCCCTCCCCGTCCCTCTTCAGGGACCCCCTCACGAACATTTGCTATGCCAAGAGGTAGATCATCTCCTCCAATTAGGGGCAGTGGAGACTATTCCTGCACAACATGGGGGAAGGGATTTTACTCCCACTATTTTTTAAACACAAAAGAAAAATGGGGATGGCAACCTGTCCTCGATCTCAAGTGACTCAACAAGTTCGTGAGAAAGCAGCAGTTCAAGATGGTCACCTTAACAACAATACCAGTGCTGGAGCAGGGGGACTGGTTTTCAGCCCTTGACAGCAGGATGCTTATTTTAATGTTACGATACACCCTGCCCACAGGCGTTTTCTGAGATTTACTTTGGACACAGACCACTATCAATATAAGATTTTACTTTTCGGCCTGTCAACAGCACCTCACGTTTTCTCAAAGATCCTCGCGGCAGTAATGGCACATCTGAGAAAACAAGGAATAATAATATTTCCTTACCTGGATGACTCTCTCATACTCAATCAGATGCCATTCGCTCTACCCAAACGATGATGGATTGCTTCCAGAGTCTCAGCCTACAAATAAACAAAAAGAAATCAACAATAGAACCAGCTCAACAGTTAAAATTCATCGGCGCTTACCTCGACTTGGTGGTGGCGAAGGCTTCACTTCCATGAGACAGATTCAACATGATAAAGACACTCATATTCACAGCTTGGAACAGCCCACAGGTCACAGACCACACATGCTTACAACTGTTGGGCCACATGGCAGCATGCACGTTTGTGGTCAGACACGCACGCTTGCACATGCTTTGCTTGCAAGGATGGCTAGCACCCATCTACAGACGAAACAAACACAGGGTATACAGACGATTAACAATGCCCAAGGTCAAGGACTCACTAACCTGGTAGACTCAACCACACAACCTGTACTTGGGAATCCCATTTACACAAGATCCTTCATCACACATGATCACAACGGATAGCTCCCTCATTGGGTGGGGAGCACACATGCACCATCGCACAGTTCAGGGGTTATGGTCCACGCCTGTGACAAGGCTACACATAAACCTGCTAGACCTTCGTGCCATCTGCAATGCTTGCGTCCACTTCCTACCGTTCATAAGAAACCAAAACATAAGAGTAATGACCGACAACATCGCTTGTATGTTTTACATAAACAAGCAAGGGGGAGCCCAACCACACTCGCTATGTACCAAGGCTATGAGACTCTGGAATTGGTACATCCAACACAATATTCATATCTCGGCTTCCTACCTACCTGGATGCCGGAACACCATAGCAGATGAACTCAGCAGATGTTTCCCCATGACCACGAATGGGAATTCAACAACGTGATACTGGAACGTGTATTCTGAAAATGGGGCCATCCACAAATAGATTTATTCACGATTGCCCGCAACACCAAATGTCTGAAATTCTGCTCCAGAGTAGGTCTGGGGAAGTGATCGATGCGGGATGTGTTCCTGACCAGGTTCCACCAATACCAGTACTACCCAGAGTAATAGAGACAAAACAAACCAACAAAGCCAGAGTCATGCTAATAGCCCCCACATGGCCAAGACAAGTGTGGTATCCATACATAACACAGATGTCGGCATCTGCCTCAATCACACTCCCTCTCTGGACAGATCTATTAACACAACAAGAGGGCCAAATGTGACATCTGAACATAAAGATGCTATATCTGAAGGCATGACTCCTCTATGATTCTCTAAAGATGAACTAAGTTGCTCTGAACAGGTCCAGAGGGTGCTACTCCACAGTAGAAAACATTCTGCATGTCGCACCCACCTACATAAGTGGAAGAGATTTACAGCATGGTGCACCACCAGACAAACCAATGTAACATCTGCACCTCTTCCATTGATATTAGACTATGTCCTGGAATTAAAACAATCCGATCTCTCCATCAGCTCAATAAAGGTACACCTTGTGGCTATCACTGCCTTTCACCGACGACACTACAGTCTTTGCTCCCCCAATCACCAAGCGATTCCTCAGGGGCATCCAAACCATCTATCCGGATAAGAGACCATCCACACAACCCTGGGACTTAAACTTGGTCTTACCGGCCCTCACTCAGAAACTGTTCGAACCCTTAGCAAACTGCTCCCTACTGCACCTATCCATGAAAGTGGCATTCCTAATAGCAATCGCATCAGCTAGATGTGTGGGAGAAATCAGGGCGCTCATGGCAGATCCACCATACATGACCTTTTTTAAAGATAAAGTCACGTTACGCACCCATCCTAAATTTCTCCCCAAAGTCCTTCCACATTAATCAACCTATACAGCTTCCAACTTTCTTTCCTAAACCACACGAGAATGCGTTCAAAGCTACGATGCACACCCTAGACATTAGAGCACTAACCAAACCAAACCGGAACTCTCTAAGGGTATTTCCATATCCATGTAGAGACTCTCTAAATGGATATCTGGATGCATTCACTTGTGCTATCAATTAAAAGGCACACAACCTTCCGCGGGGATCAAGACGCACTCTGCTAGATCTATATCAGCATTAGTAGCATTCCTAAACAATATTCCACTTATAGACATATGCAAAGCCGCCACTTGGGCCTCCGAACACACCGTTGCCAAACATTATGCAATCACGCAAGGCCCTAGGGCGAAAACTCGGCTGGGCTGAGCGGTATTATCAGCAATTATTCTACCAACTCTGAAGCCCCTGCCATCCTAGGAGGTCACTGCTCTACAGTCAGCTGGAGTGGCGCACTCACAGGGACATCTCTCTCAAAGAAGAGAAGGTTGCTCACCTTGTGCAGTAACTGAGGTTCTTCGAGATGTGTTCCCCTGTGGGTGCTCCACTACCCACCCTCCTCCCCTCTACTTTGGAGTTTAAAGCAGACTCTGTGGTAGAGAAGGAACTGAGGAGTCTGTGTCGCGCATACGCTAGATGAAGCACCAACATCATGCGAAGCAGGCACTGCGCATGCACGACCCTTATGAGCAGTGCTGCAAAATTCTCCGAGCAAAGGCACAGGGACCCACCATCACCTGGAGTGGGGCACCCACAGGGGGACACATCTTGAAGAACCTCAGTTACTGCACAAGGTGAATAACCTCACACTGATTCAAACAGGCTTGTTACTCTGCCACATCCTGTACTTTTGGGAAGAGAAGTGATTGCCACAAGTAGCATAAATTACCACTATAGTAAATTCAACAGTATAGATAATATTGCAGCAATTCACTTTTTTCAGTAATTGGTGTTGAGTGTACGCTAGCAGTTGGATCAAAGAACTGGGAATCAGTAATAATAATTGGCTTTTACATAGCACTTTACAAATGGAGGTAAGTATCATCCCCATTTTACAGATGGGGAAACCGAGGCACAGAGAGGTGAAGTGACTTGCCCAGTTACCTAGCAGGCCAGTGGCAGAGCTGGGAATAGAACACATGTCTCTTTAGTCCTAGTCCAGTGCTCTATCCACTAAACTGCTTCCAGAGAGCTGCATTTCATTCTTAGTTCTACTGGTGTCTCGTCTTGTGTGACCATGAGCAAGTCACTTAAGCCAGCATCTTTAAAGTTGTGTGCTTAATGTTAGGTACCCAAATCCATACTTTAGGCAGATAAAGTGCCTTCCTTTACCGTGATCGCTGTAGGTGCTCTGTCCCTCTGAAAAGGTCACTTAAGTGCCTTCCTGTAGGCGTGCAAATTAAAAGACTAGCCATAACCATTCTAGTAAACTAAAATATAATGACAATCTGCATACTACTAATGCTTCCTCACAAGGGAGTTAAGGGTTAATCTGTAAAGTACTTTAAGATCTGTAGATGAACTCTGTGAGTGTAAAAAGTTTACAAGATTAGAGGAAATAAAGAAACCTTATGTGACAGAAAAGCTGAGAGATAGGGCTGGTGGTTTGCCTTTGTAATTTGACTTGTGTGTCTCAGTACTTCTAAGGTTAGTAAAATATACTTGCCAAATCAAACGCCATAGTGAAGCATCGGTGAATAGAGTTAGCTAAGCTGTAGGGCAGCTCTGGCTAAGAAACGGTTACTTACTGTAAGTGTAACTCACTGTAACTAACCTAACACATTTTCATGTAGTAATAAAATGCTAATATGTGGTGTTCTTAACAAATTGGCTTCTGGAAATAATTACTGTAAATTGCTCTAGTGATACAACTAACCTACTACCTGTTTTGTTTGATTCATGTTGCAGATGGAGCAGAATCCATGGTTAGGGTTTGGCGCTATAGCTATTGCTGTATTATGTTCAGGATTTGCAGGTAAAACATTTCTGTATGCAGTTTGTTTTAAAAGAACAGCCCAGGACCTTTCATCATGGGGCAAACTAAAACATCTCACTATCTCTTATATTACTTAATTTAACTATACACCTCTACCCTGATATAATGCGACCCGATATAACACGAATTCGGATATAACGCGGTAAAGCAGCGCTCCGGGAGGCGGGGCTGCACACTCTGGGAGATCAAAGCAAGTTCGATATAACACGGTTTCACCTATAACGCGGTAAGATTTTTTGCTCCCGAGGACAGCATTATATCGGGGTAGAGGTGTACTTGTTGATTTACAAGACTGTTTGAGAGTTAAGCAAGGACTTCATCACACACATATTCCTTCTATTTCCTGTGTTCGTAACACTGGATTTGTGACATCACAATATTTAAATTGTAAAATATTGTGATGTTACAAACCCATGGTTTTGAGTTCAAGGCTGGCTTAGACAGGAAAGGCGGGCGGACCTGTGAGAGGAAGAGCCCTTCTTCAAATATAAATATCTACAGTCATACTAAAGGAAAACTAGAAAGTGACTTGCTTAGTGCAGTTTTTTAAATAAAAACTCCTTTTCCAAGTTTGCTTTGGTGTGAAAGCTCCCTTACGATTTAGAAAAGAAGACACACATTCTTCCAGGTGTGGAATGGAACTCATTTCAATTTCTGTGCTGGTTCTGCCTCTGGAATAAGCCCTTCCCTAGTCCTGTGGGTGCAGTTGAAAGTCAATGTGATGCAGAAGGATCAGGTGTAATTTTAGATGGTCAGAGGAGAAGCAGGAAACATAGGAGAAATTCTATAAAAATAGAGTCTTTCCTTCTTGCTGCCTTTTATCCTTTTACCACTGCAGGAGCCAGAGAACTGGGAACAAGTGAGCTGCGGTTAAAGGATAATTGCAGTTGTGTTTTCTAGTGCATAAGAATTTAAAAAGTTGTTTACAGGGTTCAGGAGGAACGCTTTCCTGGCTGTAAACTTCCAGCTGGTGGAGTCATTTGTTGCAAATCATACTAGGGTTTTTTTGTTTTTTGTTGTTTTTTTTTTTTCAGTTGAATAACACTGCTCTACAGCCAAAATGCTTCTGAAATAAATGTAGTCAAACTTTACTAATTCTGGGTCACTGAGAATGAAAATGATGCTTAAAATTGTTGATTGGCTCTAGTTTTCAAGATATGCTATTGGGTCAGTATATACGACCC